GTGGATGGTTCCTCTTTTAAAAAATAAGAGTTAAAGTGCAGTACTTAGATTGACCTGTGGATAAGTTGACTCAGTTTTTTTGGGTCAATTTTTGACTAAAAATTTTAAACTTATACATGAGTATATATAGTAGTAAAAAAAACTTTTATTTCTTATGTTTCCTAGTAGTGTAAAAGTCAGAACAACTGACTGTGTACATACCTATTCTCAGTTTTCAATGTGTTGTTGAAATACCCTGACACTTGTGATACCTTAATATAGTGAACTGATGAGGCCTGAGCATACAAGTGTATCTATACATATAGATGTTTAGATTTTGTAGCAGCCTGTACGCAAAGGGACTTAATTATTTTAGAGCTCTGTAAAATTATCACATAGTGTTAAATGCAAATACACACACATATATACATACACATATGGTTCCTATTCACTGTACTGGTGTTTTTGCATAAGAAATTGCCAGTAAAGTATGCTGCTTTAGCAATTTTGTCCCAAATGGGAACTACAGTTCCCATCAGCCCCTACTGACAAAGTTAGTATTGAAAGGGGTCATGAGAGTTGACGCCCAAACACCTGGAAGATACCAGCTTGAGGAGCCTGCTACAGTGCGGTTTAACTCCTTGTCAGTCATGTAATGCTCAGTATTTCAAAAAATCCCAGAAATGACAGGAAAAGGCAAGACTGGCCCTTGAAGAAGAAACAACTTCAAATATTGATTGTTGGGCTTCCTATATGCAAGGGCAAATAAGATCAAAATCAGAGCACAGCAAGCTGTTAGGTTGTATAAAGTTAATGAATGCATCTGCTAAGGTTTCTATTTGTGTTACAGTGTCCTCACTTCCTCACCTTTTGTTCTGGGCAATGCACACACAATTATGGTAGGAATGTGATCCTTTAAATTGCTTTCTAAAAACAGTAAGTGCTGAAAGGAACTGAAAGCCAAGATTGCTCGGAGAGGAGGTATAGCATATAGTATCAACATTCCTCAAGCTTCTCTTTCTAGGACTAAAATATGCTAAGCCAGGTTATGTTGTTCATTCTAGCCGACAATACTTAGAATGTGCAACTTTCTGAGCAGTAAATATTTACACCAAAAATATGGTGTAATCTAATCATGATTAGATTGGAAATCCTCCCAGCAGGAAAATGGACAGTGTAAATGTCCCATTGTTTAATACTTCATCCAAGAATACCCTTGAATATTTCTCAAACAAAATGAATATATAGGAGCAAATGAAAATAATCTAAATCAAAAGTCCCCAAAGCATTTCACAGCATGCTTCCCTAAACAAGTTTTTAATCAAGCCAAACTTCCTAAAAGAAAATTTTGCAGTAGGCAGTATAGCCAAGAAGACAAACAAATGGGTTCTTGAACAGACCAGACCAGAACTGTCCTTGGAAGTTAAGATGATCAAGTTGAGACTATTGTACTCGTCATGGATCACTAGAAAAAAAACAGTAATGCTAGGAAAGGTAGAGGGTAGAAGAAAGAGAGGAAGACCACAAACCAGATGGATAGACTCAATCAGAGGGGTTATGGGGAAGGGCTTGCAGGATCTGGGCAAGGCAGTGGAGGATAGGGATTCTTGGAGACGTCTCATCCACAGGGTCGCCATGAGTCAGAACCGACTCGAGGGCAGCTAACAACAAAAAAAGTATAGAAAAGATATATAAGCTACTTAGGAGAATGGGCAAAGAGTGTTGTAATCAGCTCCAAAAAATTCTACAGGTTGAGTCTCCCTTATCCAGCAATCCAAAATACTAAAAAAAAAAAAATGTTTTCCATGAGTGGCTAAGATAATGACATTGCTTTCTGGTGTACAGTGTACACAATTCATGTTTCATGCACAAAATTATTAAAAATATATTATAAAATTATCTTCAGGCTAGATATCTCATTATGTATGTATATGCAAATACGGGTATTACAAAATCCAAAATATATCTGGTCTCAAGAAGTTTGGATAAGAAAGACTCAACCTGTATACAGAGATACACTTTCCAAAACAGATACTCAGATACAAATATGCAGACTGACAAAAATAAACGAGTAATATAGAGCCAGCATAGTGTAGTAGCTTGAACATTGAACTATCACTCTGGAAATCAAGCTTCAGTTCCCTGCTCAGCCATAGAAACCCATTGGGCAACCTTGGGAGAATCGCACACTCAAAAAATCTTGTGATGTTCTCCTTATGATTGCCATACACTGGAAATGTCTTCAAGGCACACCATAGCAACCTGATACAGTAATATCAAAAATCACACGAACAATTCAATACAATAAAAGAGTATCAGTTTACTGCTCCTGTATAATCCTCCCCGCGCTCTTCGGTCCTCCGGGAGGAAA